AAGTGTACCAGGAACAGTAGTACGGATATAAGACTCATTTGATAGCTATTTTATATTCCCTGTTTGTCATTTTTTACATAGGAATTTCTATCTTAATCCTATCTTGACTACTTTCACCATATACACTTATTAAAATAGCTTATTCTGATTACATTCATCTTTGAGGTTTCCTCTGACATAGCCAGTTTTCATTTCCATTTAACGTGGGGGAGGGGGGGAAACATGCAGTTAAAACAGTCATTTTCATTTCTTTCAAGATACATTTTTTTCTTGTCCATTTGGCACTGGTGATGAGCTGTGATAGTGGGTATAAAAGCAGCTATTCTTATGTCTGATAATCATGTTGCTGCTCTATGTGTGGTGAATGACGTACTTTCTATTCTCAGATATTTTATTCCACCTATATTTTAATGTTAGAGCTTTAAAGATTCACTTCCGTTTTCTCTTTGATATGCTCAAGATACGTTTCCAGCTCAATATAGTATAAATCAGGTGAATAGTTCTGCACATCTATACACCTATTATTAAAGGGGTTAGACACTTTGGATTAGGTAAACTGAGGAAGGAAAAAGGCTAAGATTTTAAAATTATTTAAAACCTTAATCTCTTTGCTTTTCCATTATATAGAATTGGAAATCACCAATATCACTGGCTTTTTTCCTAATTAATAATATGGAGAAGGGTTGCCTGCTTTCATTAAAAATAAATTGAAATTTATCTAAATCTGCTGGAATTACAGTCTTTTTTGTTAGGAAGACAATATGAAAACACTTTTTTTTTCCTTCGAAGAGATCTGCCATGCATCATCTAATACCCCAATTTATAGAAACATTCTAGCAAGGTACATAAATTCATCTACTTGCTCTAATTTTTTTGCTAGGTATCTATAATTTGCAACCATCCACTCCATTTTCTCTATCAGAAATGTTATATTTCAATATTATATTTCAGTTTTCAGACCTATAGTTTTCCTTGGAATATTCAGTATCTATGATGATGCTGTCTATTCAGTCAGCTCTGATTCTCGGCAATTCTATGGACCAGTTCTCTCTATGGTTTCCTAACTTGTATGGCTTCTTTCAGTTATTTTATAGTCTTCTTTCTTTCTCTTCTTTCCTTTCTTCCATGTACATTTTCCCAGGATTCACTCTTAATATTACCCAAAAAGCATTTTATTTAACATTCAGAACCTCCTTATTACCTGTGCATCCTTAATTGATTCTCTCAATCTTTATTTATCAATGAATAAATAAATCATTTCAGATTTAATTTTTTTCTTTTGCCATTTGACCAGATGAATATGTTTAAACAATGTGTTCAAACCTTGGAGATGTTTTTATAAGTAGATACTGACCAAGCAATCATTCTAATGTGTTGCTGACTCAGTTTTCATGTACCTTTTATATTCCTGTTCATCCGTTCATGTTGACTAACAGAAGAATTTGCCCTGCAGCATCACATTCATTTATCCCTTCCTGGATCACATTACAGTCTGAGTTGCCATTTCCATATGCTGAGATCATTGTGAGATGAGACCATTTGACCCATCATGTTTCATCAGTCAAAACTTTCACAGAACACTTTGTAATAAAAGAGAGAAGTAGTCATAGTCATGTCACAAGTAGCCTTCCCTCCTAATGCTATCAATAATACCAGTCTATCTTGGCATGTCTTACTCTGTATGCCACAAAGAAAGCTGAAATTCTATTTTGTTCCAATTGTCCTTCTGCTATTCTATGAAAGCTAGGATCTATAACACAGAGACCACTTGGCAACATACTGTTGCCCATATCCCACTAACCACAAAGAAAACAAAGTGTCCTGATCCCTGATAAGACATTTCTTTTTTTTTTAAAGTAACATTTAAAATAAAATTGTATATACAGCATTGAATAAAATTGCATGCGTAACAGAAGTGAGGCTGATAGGAAAAAATCATTTGCTCTGTTTTACCTCATAGGATCCTTGAAGAACAACACGGGATTCATTGTAACATGACCCTGCTCTTTTCCTTTGCTCAGGCAGTTGCTTGTGCAGAAGCAGGGGTCACCCTCATTTCTCCTTTTGTTGGCCGTATTCTGGATTGGTATGTTGCAAATACGGACAAAAAAACTTATGAGCCATCAGAGGACCCAGGTAATTGAATAAGTGTTAAGAAATTAAGTTTGCAATTGAATCAACCTGCAATGTTTAGTATTTGAAAATAAGCCGTTCTGAGAGTTCTTTACCCCTGAATAAAGTTGCCGTAATTGCTTTAAATCAGGGGTCTCAAACTCAATTTTACCTGGGGGCCGCTGGAGGCAGAGTCTGGGTGAGGCTGGGCCGCATAAGGGATTCCACAAAAAAACTTGTTAAAAAAATATCCTCAAATGTTATACTTTCATATCACGGTGGGGGCCACAGGATATTGTCCTGTGAGCTGCAATTGGCCCGCGGGCCACGAGAATGAGACATCTGCTTTAAATAGTTACCTTATGTTCTCTTTTAGGGGTAAAGAGTGTCACTAAAATCTACCATTATTACAAAAAGTTTGGCTATAAAACTATTGTAATGGGAGCTTCTTTTCGGAACACTGGACAAATCAAAGCATTGACTGGCTGTGACTTTCTCACCATTTCACCTAAACTTCTGGGAGAGCTCAGTAAAGATAACAGCAAACTGACCCCAAAGCTGAGCGTCAAAGATGGTAAGTTTTCTGCCTTATTAACATGTGGGGTCCAATAGCCCTAAACAAACACTGCTCAATACAGTTTAAATACAGATTAAAACACTTTAATTGTGATCTTTTACCACATCATCTCAATGTGTAAGGATTTACTTTTACTGAAATATCTACAGAGGGCTGTATATGTATAACGGTTAATTCTTTCGGTGCTCAATAGGTAAGGTTCACTTTCTGAATAACTAATATCTCAAAGAGATACATTAGATACAAAGAGATACATTAAATATATTTACTGTTCAAGAATCTGTAATACTTCTGCTATGGGACTGAAAGGATAATATCAATACCTACGTATTCATATTAGTTTAACTGAATGGTTTCTGTAAGACGTTGAGATTCAGCATTCCCTGTGATAACTGTACAATTTGTATCACAATAAAGTATACCATTGCCTACTTCCATAATTGGTTACTTCTATCATCTTCAATACAGCCCAGGAATCTGACTTGGAGAAGGTGCATCTGGATGAAAAGACATTCCGTTGGCTTCATAATGAAGACCAAATGGCTGTGGAGAAACTGTCCGATGGAATCAGAAAGTTTGCTGCTGATGCAGTGAAACTGGAAGTCATGATAAAGGTAAGATTAAGGGATTATTGGCTTACTAAATATATTTCTAATGACTTTAGGTATATAAATTCAAAAACGATATACGCTCAACTATATATAACTTGCAAGTTATTTTCTGGTTTTCAGTGCTACTGCATATGCTGCATTGGCCTTAAATAGGTTAAATCCTATTTGTCAATCTTTTCTTGTACATTAAATAACAATGATTTCTTAAAATGTTTGCAACCAATGTGCCTATTTATATATTTTTTCTTCTTTTTTAGGAACGGATGTTCGGTACTGCGAATGGAAAGTAGACATGGCAAATTTAATGGATGCTAAATAGATGTAAAGATTTACATGCTGCATAGGAAAAGATTTTCTGTATTCACAGATTTCTGTATGAATTTGCAGAGAAAAGATTCTTCGGGTCTGCTGTGCTTTTATATATGAGGATTGTAATATTACAATTCTGCATTACCAATTTTTTTATTCTTCACTATATTGCAGATGCATAAAGGACCAATTGCCTTGCTTTTTTCTTCAAGGTACTACTACTACTAATAATGATAAAACATTCTGATGTATAAATGCATTCCAAAAGAATAAAATGTACTACATTTTATACAGCTTTGTTGACTCCTATTGAGGCAAGGCCTCCATTTGAAGGATTTATACACGCTATTTCTACAAACAAAATCACTGTAAGAGTTGAACAAGTGTGTTTTATAAACATTCCATTCTTAAAATTATGAGGAGCTTCCCTACAGTTCTTGTAGAATGAATGATGTCTCACAGGGTTATTGCTGTGGGGGAAAAAGGAGGAAGAAAGATTATGTACACGGTTGAATTGTACAAATCAAAGATTTGGATATAAATCCAAATTGTAATGCAGTCTCAATCTATAAAATTTCAGGTAAGTGTCTAATTAAAAACATCCAGTGATGAAGCACCTACAACTTCTGAAGGCAAGCTGTTCCACTGGTTAATTGTCCACACTTAGGAAGTTTCTCCTTAATTCCAGGTTGCTTCTCTCTTTGATTAGTTTCCAACCATTGTTTCTTATCCTGCTCTCTGGAGCTTTGGAGAATAATTTACCCCCCCCCCCTTTGTGATAGCCCCTCAAATACTGGAATACTGCTATCATGTCACCCATAATTATTTTCTTTAGAGAAGCCAAACCCAAATCCTGCAGCTGTTCTTCATGTGTTTTAGTCTTGTGGCCTTTGATCGTCTTAGTTGCTCTTCTCTGACCTTTTTCCAAAGTCTCAACATCTTTTTCTGTAGAATTTTAAATGAGAGTTTCAAACAGTAGCAAAGTCCTTTTCAAATGGCCATTAATACTGCACAATTCCTTTAGATCGAACCCTATCAGATATAGTACAGCACTTCTAAGGGCAATACTGGGGATGAGATCCCAGTTTCGCATAATTGTGATTTTAAAATGTAGTGATGACCAAATGACAACCAGATGACTGCAAGAACTATCAATCCTTTCATTCCCCGCCATTCAGTCAGAACTGAAGCAGCTTCTTAGATGAGAAGCGAAATGTTTTCACGGAAAAACATAGTGCAGTTGCCTTTTGGTGGGGTGGGGGGAAAGCACCTTTGGGACAAGGTTAGTGGAGGTATCTAATGGCAGCACGAGTCAAGAAAATTCATATATTTCATTGAGCACTTCTAGGTGCTGTGTAGCAGTTTTAATGTATTATTGATACATCAGTAACTTGTTTCTAACTTGTTTCTCCCCCTTGTCCACTTGGCAAACAGTGGAGCAATTTCTACAAAATGCAAGCTTTGTCTATTATACAGTGGAGTCTTTGGTACTCTGAATGCGGTTGTTTGCTTGCAGATGTTTCATTACCTAAGTAACTTCAGTGTTGAGCACTAAGGAGTCCACAATTCAATCCTTGGCTACATTTTTTCTTATTGGTTGTGTATTGGAATCTAAAATAAACCAAAGCTCAAGTACTACTGAAACTTTTTAGGTTTTGTAATTCTAGAAACATTGCTTTTCTTTTGGTGTTGCGTGCAAATGCACTTGAGAAGGTAGTCTGCTTTTTAAAAAACAAACAAACAAACCCCAATGGAATGTGTTCTTCCTCTGGTTCCTGTGCTACAGTAAAACTACTCTATGGCTGTCTGTGTTATCCAACCAAGTAAAAAGCACAATCATAAGGTGACTGTGGAATATATTTGCCTAGACTACAGAGGTTGCCAGCATATTATTTAGTCTATTATATGACTCTAAACCTTGATTCGCAAACTAGTTTGCAGGAAAATCTCAAGTACTTCTTCAATCTTGAGTCAAAATTATAATCTATGCAAGTAGGGTACTATTTCTATCGTTAACAAATAAGATCCACAACAGACAACTTGAATATAGTTAATAAGATAGTATGAAGCCTTCATGATTTATTTCAAGAATAAAATGGAAAAATTATATACACAAATATGGCTAATCACTAATTGTGTGTTAGACAACACAAGCAAATAAAACCTGAAGTAAAATTTAATCAAAAGCCTTCTATAGTAGGCAAAATAAATGAACCACTATTGTCATGCTACAACAAATGAACACATGGAAAACACTAACCAACTTTAGGAAATAAATTTAACCTGTCCCATTTTAAAAGTAAACATTTTACAGTTAATCGTTCCTTTTCTTGAAGTTTACATCTTCTGTTACTAATAATATCAGTAATCTTACTGTAACCTTTACAATATACTATATATTCCTATATGAGAGAGAAAATTACTATATAGTCCTATAGCTTGAAACTTAATTCACAATCTGAAATGATAAAATGGAACTAACAGATTCACCTTGCCTTATTAGATAACTTAGTCCAGATCTTACACTAGTTTTGCCCAGATCAGGCACAATGGGAAACATAGCTAAGAAGAAAAGATTTCAACATACTATAGTTGATGGAAGTTCAGAAACACAGGGAATTGTGACTGAAATCTTTCAAATCAATTTAGCCTTATGAAAGTGAGAGGGTAGGAAGAAATATCCTTAAGACTCATATAAACTACGAATATCTATGAATACTGGTACATCTGATAACAGGCAGGGCTTACTATATGAATTAATATTTGCTTGTTTATAAGCTGCAAAATATCACTTTTAGAAATCAGCTTTTCTGTTGGTTCATAAATGAAAGGTTAGCAAATCAAATAACTCTTCCATGTTCATTTGTTCTGCTCAGCCACGGGGATGTTTCCGTCATTTTCTGCTGAAAGAAACATTACATCAAATTAATCACTATAGAGATATTTCCATATGATACATTTAAGGAATAAAGTGCTTGAGAATCCTCCTATCTCTTATTCTAGTAGTAACCTCAAATTGATCAATTCCAGGGTAGGGTCAGAGAATGCTGACACAAATTACTAAAGCTGGTTACAGTAATACAGAGATGCATTTGCAAAAAACAAAACGTCTGTATTTTACTAGTAATGTCACCTGCCTTTACTTACCTGCCACTGCAGAGAAAAATAAGATTCTGTACAGCAGCGACTGTAGAATTTTCATTTTGTCCAGTGACAAGGTGTCTGTCAAGCACGACATGAACTGCATCTACCTTGCTGGCTGCAGTGGAAATATATGTATATTCACATCTTAATTTACACTTGTAAGAATAGATCCTTTTTCAAAAACCTAAGAAAAATGTTACCTGTTTTTTTTTTTAATTAATAAGAAATGCTTACTTTTCTTTCTTTACAATGTGTGAAATTCACAATTGTATCCTGCATTGGTAAGATGTAGGTATTAATAACAGCCTTCTAAAAGGCCTTTAGAAGGTTAAGAGGGATAAGGTTGAGCCAAGGCAGGGGTGTCCAACCTTGGCAACTTTAAGACTTGTGGACTTCAACTCCCAGAATTCCTCAGCCACAAGTCTTAAAGTTGCCAAGGTTGGACACCTCCGAGCCAAGGTAAGTCTTGTGCTTTCTCAATATAAGGAAGGAAGAAAAGTCAATTTCCTGGTTGGATATCACCACCTTCTCTTTCAGATAAAGAAGGAAAAGACGAATGATCATCACACGTGGCACTTTATTTCACATAGAGTATTATCTAAAGCAGGATTTCAAGCTTACAAAGTGCATGAAACTCTCAACCTTATTTTGTGTGGTTTGTACCCCACACACTACTTGATTATTATCACCCTGGTAATCTTTAGACTGATTTTTTTAAAGATGAAGTACAGATCTGTGCCAGGATAGGACTCTGCAAGGAGGCATGAAGCCATACTTTACCTCTGATAGAGAGGAGACTGTAAGCCTAATGCCTAGTTCAAGAGTAGCTATGCAATTCTTACTGCAGATTGCCATTCTACAACACATTGCCCTTCCATTACATTTTAGCATCAGGAAAGCGGGGGGGGGGGCGCAGTTGATGCTAGTGTGATCTTTATCCTGAGATTGCTACATTGCAGACTTCACTATTAATCAGCAACATCACCATTTGAAGTGGATGCCACAAGCAAGAATAAAGTGGAGTTTAGTTTCCGAATTTAGGAAAAATGCCTCTCTTAGAGCTTTTTAATTGTAGGGTGGAGAGGCTGCGGTGTAACTATCATTGCTATGACCACTGCTGCAAATCTGATGCTATTAATCAGAAGGGCAACCAGGTCAACATTTATTTATTTATTTTATTTATTTTGTCAAACAATTATTAGATAACAGGTATAAGTATAAACATGGTTATAAATACATGAAATGGATACGAATAAGAAAAAAAAAGAAACAATAGGACAGGGACGGTAGGCACGTTTTGGTGCGCTTATGCACGCCCGCTATACTTTCTACATACTTGAGAAAACCTCAATTGTCTCACTGTACTTTACTCTTAAGATCACGAGGTATGTAAAAAGAAATCCTTGGTAGTCATCCATACTTTAAATTCCTATAAATTATTATTTTTTATTTACAAATTTTATTAAATTCATTATTTAAAAACATTGAAATCGTATTTGACATATCTTTTTGACTTATATCTTGTAATGTATACTTCTTTTATATATTTATACATGTTGAATCTTTTTTACATTTAATGTTCCTTTAATACTAAATTCCTATAAATTACCACATGATACTGTCTACTTTAAAGTGTTCACAAAATTATTTAGTGATTCTAAATGCATACTGATTTTAACAAGTATTAATAAAAATCGAAGTCAGCAGAAAATATTAAAAAGACATACCACTAAAAGTAGCTCCAGAATCTTTTGAAAAGTCTTCAACAATAATGGGTAAACTAGAGAAACTAGGAAGTCTTACAAGTTCATAGACAGAAGGCTGGAAGAAACAAAACAACAGAAGTAAAATTTTAACATTGTATTATAGTGAAACCTATGCAGGAAGAATTATGTTTTGGTTAAAGAACTAAGTAGCAGGCAGTTCCTAGAAAAAAGTCAGGATCACTTTATATGAAATACAGAATTAAATGCATTACTGTTGCAAATGATTTCTCTAATGATTACTAATTCAGTAATTCAGTTACATTGTAGCTATAATTGTATTTATACTCTCTGCATGTGATTATCTTAAGATTACTAAAGTACTTTGAAAATCTCTTGTATATAAAGCTAGATTTCAAAGGTCTTTTTAAAAAAGCAAATATACTCTTTTTGTGCTCACAAAATTAAATGCAAGTAAATGAGATGTGCTTCAGCAAAAATATAAATCTTGAGGAAGATCTGTGACTTGTAATATGAGAAATTCAACCATATATGGAAAACAAAAATAAACTACTTCATATTGCCTGGATATTTAGCAGCACCTGGGCAATCTTGATCCATTTCCAAAAATGTAGCAGGATCAGACCAGATAGGAGAGCATAGACTAAACATTGAAAAGTATAAAAATAAGATAATGGAAATACAGATTACTACATAGGTAAGACTGTGAAATTATAGAAAAATTTTTTTATTCAAGGAGACTTTATATCACATAGGTTTCTATATAAATTTTTCAAGAGAGCGATCCATTGTGAAAAATGCACAGTGTTGAGGTAATTCCCCATTAGGAGAATGAGTACACACAGGGAGAGGTAGTGAGTGTGGTGAAGAATAACACACAACCAGCACACAGATACACTGTATAGTAAAATGTAGGTTTTTACTTCCAATAAACAGTTAAACAAAGTCCAATAAGCAGTCCAAGTCATACACAGTTAAAGCAGTCAGTTTTTCAGTCCAGAGATAATCCCAATATCAAAGTCCAGTATCATAAACAGTTCAGTAACAGATTTACAGCAATCCAAGAAGAATGACGATCAGCAACAGTAAATAGGAAAAATTCAGGAACCAAAAACAGCGAACATCAGAACATTGACCAACTAGCAACTATCAACAACAGGACTAAACAACCTAGGTTTCTGGCTCCATCTTATGGCCGTTTGAGGAACCACACCCAATTACAATTATAGCATTCCCTTAAAGAGACAGTATTAAATGTCTATTCCCGTTCATATATTTCTAACCCAACTGTTAGATGACTATCAATTCCTAACACACTGTTCCTTCAGCATACATTACCTACCCCTGTTAAGCTGTATTCTTGAAACACCCAGGATTTGTCTTCATTCGTGGCACAACATAAGGCAGCAACTCCATTTCCAATAGCACAAATAGGCTCTGTTAAAAAAGAAAACTTTATATAAAATCTTTATAGTTTTAGGAAAATGCTATTTTGAAATGGGTCTTTCTTTCAAAAACAGTATATCAGTTGCTGTATAAATGCAGTGTTTATTATTTCCTATTGTACTTTTTAAAAAAAAATGCAACCGGGAAAAAGGGATCAAAAAGGTTAAAAGGGGAAGATACAATATTGATGAGAACAGAATAAGCAATGCATATTCAATTCTATTCTTTTCATGCATTCCTCACAATTATTGAGAAGATTGTGTATCTGATATGTTGTCCAAAATCTTTTTAAGGATTAGAAGAAATATTAAAGGTAATATGGTATGTGTATCTCATACATTAATCACCACTTTTTGCCACACTCTTCCTGTTCTATGATGTACACAATAGCACGTAAAACACCAAGGAAGTTTACCTACTGTTCTCCGAACTGAAATGCTGCAATATTCTAGCTAAGTAGCCACTGTTTGAAAGATCTGTCAAAGCACCAGGACAGTCAGGGATCAACAAAGCATGGTATCTTGCACCTAGGTAGGAAGAACAGACAACGCTGAGTTCTATTATTAAAAACCAGCAGAGGCAGAGATGACTCAGAAGACTAGTGGACAGTGCTCTAAGCATTTCCTGCTGTCTTATTTGCTCTACTTTCAATAGCAATATATGAAGGTCCCATTGCATAAAAATATAAATCGATTTTTAAATTAAATTTAACTAAAATAAAAAGCCTGTCTGACAATAATTTCTGCAACCCACTTAGTATTCCCAAACAATGTTCAAGTCCAGGACAAGATTAATGTATCCCGGAGGTATGTTCAATCTGCCCAACTTTTCTGCTATAAGAAGAAACTGATTTGCTTCCCCATTTGCCCCTAAAAGCTCGGGGCACTTTGGGATAAATGTAGCTATCTGTGAGAAAGGCAGGGAGAAAACAAGCAAAGGCAGCACTGCTCACATATTAGCCATCCTTTAAAAATACAATCATTATACCCATCCCATCATCACTACTGCCTAAAGTCTCAAATCTGTACTTACCTGTTCCAAAAACAAAAGGGAATCTGAAAGAAGCTTGGTTGTAAACTGCTCTCAATTATTAATAATATAAAGAAACTATTAAGCTAGTTTGGTTAGATAAAGGTGAAAACAAACTCCTAAAATATGTCAACGGGAAATATGAAACCATAGCTTTTATTGAGTCTGAAATATAAAAACAATCAAAGCTTTGAGAGCAAACTTTATCTTTTCCTCCAAAAAATACAAATGGAACAATGATAGTTTCAAAGCAACTTGATTATCAATTTAAATTATCTTTATTTTAAACTGCAATATGTGGTAGAATTGTATCCAGATATTGAAAAGACCATTAATGTGTAGATAGCTAAAGGAGATACACCCAATCATATGTCAAAAAATATCTCACCATCAGTTGATTCCAACTTGGCTGGATTTGCGTAGGATTTCATCCGGAAATCCTGGATCCAACGCATATTTGCTTCATTAACTCCAACAAAATCAATTGGCTTCCCCTACAACAGCAAAGCCCAATTAATGCATCTACATATACTAAGCCTTTGGAATAAACATTTAGTGAAACAAAAAATATTTGAAAAAAACAAACAATAGCCTGTCTCCATGAAGTAAAAACTGTGTTATTGGTTCTAAATAAAGATGTCATTTTTCATGTGAACCAAAATGGAAATACAAGCCAACATTCAAACAAATACACCCCAAAATATTGTACATTTACAACTTGTGCACTCTTTAGTTCAGCTGGATTTAGTTGCTTTTTAATAAAACAATGCATTTACCGATTCCTGCATTTTGAGACCCCTCTAGGACAGAGGTCTCCAACCTTGGCAACTTTACGACTTGTGGACTTCAACTCCCAGAATTCCTCAGCCAGCAAAGCTCCATAAGTCATAAAATTGCCAAGGTTGGAGACCCCTGCTCTGGGAAATTGCATATGGAAACAAAAAAGAGAAAAATATATGAAAATAATGGTGGATAAAATTTATTTTCCACTATTTCACTAAAAGCAGGTCAACATTACCTGTAGGTGCCTAGTTTGGAACATTGCAACTTCTGATTACATTCCATTCTAAGACCATTATTGAAGGCCATCATTTCCTGTAACAGTTACTTCCTTCCTCTTTTTTTAATCTTGTCTGGGGGAAGAATCTATTTCATCACCTACTTAATAAAACTAACATGGAACATTTACATTTACTTACCCCTGGGGTAGCAACTTGTAGATTAAAAGCAGAGCTGGCCAATGTAAAAGAGTGGAAGAAAGAGTCAGCTGATACACCTGGTGGACAGATATAAGCACATTGTATTTGTAGTGAGAGCTTCTATATGGAGAAAAAACATTGGTATGGCTACATATCTAGGGAACAAAATCTGGATTTGATCTATAGCAGCAGACATACTGAAAAAGCTACTTGGCTTTTTTGTAATACAAATATGGGAGCCTTAGCATTCACTGATAATTCTTACTAAATATGCAAACTTGATAGCCTTTTCATATTCCTCAAAGTAAAAAAGACAAAAGACTTAATATCCTAAAGGTGCTTTTTCAAGAGGCCACTGGACTTTCTGGTTTTTCTTTGAAGACATTTTGTTTGTTAGAGTTGAAAAAGCTTCTTGGATGAGAAGCGAAACATCTTCAAAGAAAAACCAGAAAGTCCAGTTGCCTCTTGAAAAAAGCACCTTTGGGACAACCATGACTAAAAGGTTTTGTAACAAGAGGGAAGGATATAAAAAGAGACAGTATGTGTGTGTATACACATATACACACACACACACATATGTATATGGTGAAGAGATAAAGCTGTTGGAGTATCATGAGGAGAGTTATATTGAAGACCAGCTTTTATTTATCAAGGCTGCTAGATGAGCTCCTGAAGGGAAGTATACTTTCAAAATAATATAAATAAAATATTAGATTAACCAAGAGCGCTAATAAGCCACAAAGAACAGCCCAACAGCACTGTAACTTCTATGTTCTTGCAGGCAGAAAACAGAAATCCTAGCTAGGGCTTAAGGGAAGTGAAACCCAACATGTTTATGAGACTTTAAAATATGTTAACACTATGTAGAAATGACAGCATGACAACTATGGAATGCCGATTATGTCCACATAAAATGCAACAGACACCTAACTAGATCCTCGATGTTGGCTGGTTAAAAAAGAAGAAAGGGCCAGGTTCATATGTGGATGGGAGACCACCAAGAAATCTCAGGGCATTGGAAACGTCATCCAGGGTAGGAGAAAAGAGCTGCATATAACTTCCGCGCTGCTGTCAGGAACATTATACGAAACAGCCCATGTAAACAGAGAAGCTGTACTCCACTTGAAGCAGAGTTTATCTTTGGCCTTAGAGATCCATCAGTCCGGCGCAGCCAGATAGACTCCGCCCGCAATTACTGTATCGGTCAAGCTGCCCGGAATAGCCTTCTCCAATCTCCTGCGTCCAGCTGCGGAAGAACCAGTCATGCGCATAGCGGAGGATCAAAAGTCGGAAGAGCCACTCTCCCCACCGGGAAAAGCGCTGTTGCCCCTGACAACATACGTCTTTCGGGGGCGATTCTCTCAAATCTCCCGCCGCCCCCCGCCTCGCCTTCCCGTTCAGCTCTCAGGTCCGCCCTCACCCGGAAGAGCGAAGAGGAGGGCGGCGAGGGCAGAGCCACCCGGCCTTACCTGCAGCAGCGGCGCTGGCCACAATGAGGCACGTCGGCTTGCTGAGCCTCTCCGACATGTTGGCAGCGGCGGGAGCCTCTCGGGGAAAAGAGAAGCGGGCAGGGGCCAACCTGAGCTTCGCGGCTGGGAAGGATAAACCTCGCTGCGCTTTCCGCCCACCAGCCCGCCCAGTTTTCCCCTTGCGCAAGCGCCCTCGAGTCGGCCACCCTCTTAAGAGGGTTACCCGGTTGTGGGGATGGGGGTGGGTTGTTTGCAACCCCACAGCTGCTTTCTTCGCCGGCCTGGGTTTGGCCCCCTTTTTGTAATCTGACGTGACGCCACCCTTGCAGCCTTGGGGGTCTTTTTCTTGTAGCCAGAAATCCTCTAAAATAAAATCCATACATTGTTACCATTGTATTGCTTTTTTCCTTCCCCAGCGCAGCTTACTTTGAAAGATAGCTTTAAAATATGATTATTATTTTTTTACTGGTGAGTCGATACTGAAAAGGGGTCTTTTGATGTTAACGTTTTCTGCATTGCTAAGAATTCCACTATTTTCAGCATTTGCTGCATGCTCCTCTCATTTCTTGGAAAAAAAAAAAGGTTCCGTCTTAGGCCCAGTACTCTTCAATATCTTCATTAATGACTTAGATGAGGAAATAGAAGGGGAATTTACCAAATTTGCAGATGATACTAAGCTGGCAGGAATAGCTAACACCCAAGAAGATAGGCTCAAGATCCAGATGGATCTTGACAGACTAGAACACTAGGCCATATCTAACAAAATGAAATTCAATGTAGAGAAAAGTAAAGTCCTACACTTAGGCAAGAAAAACCAAAAGTACACATATAGACTGGGTGAAACCAGGCTCAATAGCAGTAACTGTGAGAGGGGTCTTGGAGTCTTAGTGGACAACCAGCTAAATATGAGCCAGCAGTGTGCAGTAGCAACCAAAAAAGCTAATTCAATCTTAAATTGTATTAATAGGGATGCAATCAAGATTAAGGGAGGTACTAATACCACTCTAAAGCCTTAGTAAGACCACACCTAGAGTACTGCATCCAGTTTTGTTCACCATATTATAAAAAAGATGTTGAGACTCTAGAAAAAGTACAGAGAAGAACAACCAGGATGATTAGGGGACTGGAGAGTAAAACATATGAAGAATGGTTACAGGGACTGGGATGGCTAGTCTAGTAAAGAGAAGGACCAGGGGAGACATGGTAGCAGTCTTCCAATATTTGAGAGGCTGCCACAGAGAGGAAGGGGTCAATCTATTTTCTAAAGCGCCTGTAGGCCAGAAAAGGAATAATGGATGGAAACTGAACAAGGAGAGATTTAACCTGGAAATAAGGAGAAACTTTCTGACAGTGAGAACAATCAACCAATGGAACAGCTTGCCCTCAGAAGTTGTGGGAGCGCCATCAGTTGAGACTTTCAAGAAGAGATTGGACTGCCATTTGTCAGAAATGGTGTAGGGTCTCCTGTTTGAGCAGGGGCGTTGGACTAGATGACCTACAAGGTCCCTTCCAACTCTGGTTATCTGTTATCTGTTTAACTTTCTTAGGGCAATCTCAATCTCTCAAATTGTATGTTACTGTTATAAGATAATGTATGGAATTCCTGCAATGATCCGGCTGCATAAAGGACAGGTGTGGCACACCTGAATCTGGGAGATGAAGACAGAATATAAAATAGACTCTAATCTCTAGATTGAAGCTTGGGTTTATAAAACATTTGCACTATCCAGATTAGAAGATTGAAGAGGTAGAGATTGCAAAGGGCATCTCTATTTATATTCTTGGATCAGGGGTCATATGTAAATCATAATGATGTTTAGTCACAATTTATTCTTTGTGTAAAATAAAAAAGTGCACTATCTGTACTATGAATGTTCTGCTCTAGTGGAAAATTCTATAAAATCTTGAAACTCCTATGCTATATTTAAGTATGAGCTGAAAGGCAAGCCCATTCCTAATCGTTCATATTACTTTGCAATAATTTAAGTAAAAAATAAAGTAGAAGAATACATGTTGGCGCCATTGGGTCTTTGATAAGAGGATGATATGAGAAGATGGTACTTTGTTTATCGTGGATGTTTTTTTCTGTCTTAAAGGAGATAAAATGCCTCTATAATAGTCTGCTTGGCTCCTCACATTAATTTGGCTGGCCTGATATCCACTTGAGGCCATTTGGTTGCCGTGGTATTTAGCTGCTGCTGCTGTTATACTTTTATTATGCCTTTTTTTACCCAATCTCAAGGACATGAACTGTCTCTAATCAGAATGTTTACTGGCAAGTAACCTAGTAGATCTCCTCCGTTCTGGTCTCCTTTCTAAATGGTCTAGTGCAGAGACTGGGAGGCCTCCTAGGACAGATCCAGTTGCTCAGGTTTGTGATTGATCAGCCTCAGATGATCTCTGGCTTTGTCCTTCCAGAAGCTGATATTCTATAGGCTCATCTGGAACAGCTTCTTCAGCTTCAGACTCTTAGGTTCAGAACCTGGCCCATTTACAGTCATTTATTCTGTGGATCAAAAAGTCTACATTGCAACCATGGAATTCAATGCAATTTGATTTCTCTACAACAGGGTTGTCAAACTCAAGGCCCGGGGGCCAGACGTGACCCATGGGGCTGCCCTGCAAACAGCGAAGTAGCGGCTTGTGGTGCCTCTGCCAGCCAAAACGGAGCTCACAAGGGCTGCGCATGGCCCCCTGAGCTCCGTTTTCAGTGGCAGTGGGTTGCAGGAGATTGTCCCAGCCAAAAACGGAGCTCATGAGTGCTACACGTGGCCCCCTGAGCTCCATTTTAGCTGGCAGTGGGTTGTAAGAGGAAGTCACAGCCAAAAATGGAGCTTGGAAACCTATTTTCTCTGGCAGAGCGCTTGGACCACCACAGGCACCAACATGAGTGACGCCATGCTAGCCATGCCCACCCTGGCTCTACCCACCCCAGCCCCCCAAGGTCAAGCACAACTCTGATGCAGCCCTGCTCTACAAGATTAAAATAAATCTGGTTGAGCTATCACCAGCCAGCAAGTTGAACAATTCTTTTCATTTTTTGAATATGGGCTGCTTTGTACTTTGTTTAACTGCTCTTAAGATGAGGCTATCCCATTTATTCACTTTAAAGATTCATGTACAAGAACAGGTTTTGATGATTTTTTTTCGAAAACTGGATTAAAGAACAGGAATTGTACCTCCATTCTAGTCTTTCATCAACAGAAAGTCTTTGAAAACTGTTTTTGTTATAAGTGGCTTTTATCACAGCGCCGTCCCTCTCATAATGGGAACTGATCTGGGCACAATATAATTATCAGGGTAGCATTTATTGATTGACTTAAATTTTGTTGTATTCCCAGAGATACATACTTGTGGTATTTTCCATCTCACATGCTTTTGATGTTCTGCCCCTTGATTTGGACAGATAAATGCCATTTGTCAGTCCATACTGTCAGCCAACTGCCTTGGCTGAAATTTGGTACTGTATGTATAAGGGCTGATATAATCACATGCCTAAAATATTCTGGAAAGAGGACCTTTTAAAATTTCATCCTCCAACATGAGACATGAGCTGTAATCTGGATTGGTGAAATGCATAAAATGGACATTTACTGTAGTATGTTATAATCCAATGGTAAAAAATATTGTCTAAAACTGGAAGTTTTAAAATCTGAAAGATGAAGTGCAATGTTTAACTTCGAGGGGGATAATATCACACAGAGTAATTGAAACTGCATTTAATGAAATAATAGATCATAGGAGCTCCATGGATCTTTATATAGCCTTAAAGATGTTTGTAGTTCCCATCAGGAATGTTTCTGTACTTGTAGAATGCATGCTGATTTCCTGGGACAAGGGCTGAATATACTAGTAATTTTTCACCTGTAATTTCATCACAGTCATATGATTTATAGTACAATTCTGTCTTTAACTGCACTCCGCACACGAAAAATGAAAGGACAAACTGACTGTAAAGAAATAAATTTTGAAATAATTGCATGCCTCTCCTATATTTCCTTTATTATCTTTAGAAAAGAAATGGTTTCAAAGAGGAGAACAATCCCTGTCCTAAAAACTTTACCCTTGCTTTTAAAGGAACGAGAGGAAGGCATTTAGATTAAGTGAGGCAACAGGATTTTTAACTGTTTTACATTTAAATTACTGAATTGTTTACAGTGCTCTATTTACACATTCTCTCCTGTATGATTCTTAGAAATTAAATGCCTGTGATTTGGTGCTTCCCCAGGAAAGGGTTAAATGATAGAGTTCTGCAAAGCATTTGCTTTGTAAAGCCATCTTATTCATCCATGCACAACTGCATCCTTTTAGCCTAGCATAGGATTTGCACGTACAGACAGGCACAAAGATACCTGGGAAAGCTATCAAAGAGAGCTATCCAAAGGACACAGATTTTTAATGTTTTGAGGATATTTTTTTATAAAGCACCTCTTTCATTGACTTCAGCATTATGTAAAATTTATTTTTGCAAACTTATATTTCCTTCTTGAACCTTATTTACTCCTATTATTATAACATACTTTTATTGTTGCTATGGCCTTTCTCATGCAGCAAGCTATCTGGCATGCAAACACATTAAAAACACTTTAATGTTCCTTTTTTAAAAAACCCTAGAATTTTTTATTTTAAATTATGGGGAAGAATTTTTCCTATATTTTTTCTTATTCTTTTCTTGCAAGTAGAACTACATTAGGTGCTATTACAGGTAGATATTTTTTCACTTGCAAAAACTGTATGGCAAATCCTTCAGAAGTAGGGAAAGATGTGGCTGCTTTAATCATTCAACAAGAGGTGCTTTTTAAAAGCTCTCACAAATTGCTTGTTACTTTAGATCAAGAGTGTCAAACTCCCGCCATCATGGTGACGTCATCTGACATATTGGGACTTTTTT